GATTGTCTTTGATAAAAGATTCTGTTTAGACTGCACTCCCCAAGGGGGGACATCTGTTGCGAACTTAGCATAGATGCTCTACCTGAGAAAGAAAGTAGGTTGGAACAACAAGTGTCAAGTCTGTGAGTGTGAGCACACTGTCACAAAAAAAAATATTTAGTCTTCCGCAGGAGGCACAGACGAGCAGGACTATCACCCCAAACAAACAGGGCCTTTCTCTGTGTCTGACATGTTCTTTTGAACGAGGAGAGCTTCTGAATGGCGTCATTATGAGATCACATAGCCGAGCTGGGTGATGTGAGTGGTGATACTGTGGGTGTTGTTGCACCCAAACACACTTATCACACCCTCAAACCCCCAAATGGGCACTGAGGTTACTTTTTACCCCTGGTCCCCGTCTCTGCGTTACAACGCTGACGATGGTTTGCATTTTCACATTCAGATTCCATGCACACATGCAATGAGTGTAACAGCAAATAGGACAATGCACCATTGCACACCACATTATTTAGGGAAATGGGAGAATGAGCACTTAGTATGTCAGGGGAAATTACAGGCCAGGGAATGCGCCATCACTTTCCCGTGAGGCCCGCTCAGTGGGCTAATCCACAAACCTCATCACGTCTACGTGGTGAAATGTTGCCTGTGTTAAGGGAAGCTAACTTCAAGTGAAACACTCTTGCTTAATGCCAAGGAAGTGGTGCGAGTACCTAGAGTCAACTAGTAGTCACCGGTTTTATTTATAGAGCACAGAGTAACAAAGAGATTTACAAGTCGAACAAAAATGTCAATGATAGCATTGTGACGTTGTTTTAGCATGGGATGGGGACACATGTTACATAGTTGCAGCAGGCTGACTCAAGCCATTGTTTTCTTGGCTGCGTTACTTGTGATTTTAGACTCTGATAACTTGAAAAGCTCATTTCCATATACTTGGCAGGGCCTGCTTGCTATGTTAACTTCAGCAAAAAACTAAGCCCACTTAAAAGAAGAACAACACTACTGTAATACCTAAAAAAAATGTTGATGTAAAATTGTACAAGTTGCCCTTTCAGGAAGCAAAGCCACCGGATGTGAAGCTTTTACTACTTGGCATACACTTACAGCTACAGTCGAATCTGGCATCAACAGCAGCACTAACTAATCCAACTTCAAAAATCAGCACAACAAACTGAGGGGTTGGTGCTTTTAAGAAGTTAACAATGTGGTACCATGTGAATGAAGACAGATCATGTTTACAGTATCTACGGGGCGATTATATTGCTCTTTGCTGCAAGGCTTTGCAGGAAGTTTACTTGATTGGCAGGGAGCCTTGTTCTCGTTTACAGCCCTTTATGAAATAACTGAGCCACCCTGCACTGCAACAACAGTTGTGCAATATTTCAGAGAGGGAAGCGAAAAGGGAAGCGGCTTCAGTGGCATGTGGCACCTGATCACCACCCCATCCCCACCTCCCAACATGCACACACACACACACACACACACACACTAACTCAGCATGGGTTGTGCAACTTTTATTATGTCAGTTTAGGGCTCAATCTGTGGCAATGTGACACAGGACTCCCCACTAACAGAGTAGACTACCATTTGGAGATTCCTTGTTGTTGCTATTTGGTCTTTTTTTTTGTGATTGTTCAGTTTTTTTTACTTCACTTTATCTTTTGAGCCTTCATTCATACCTGTGGTTCCTGATGTCCCGATATTTAATCTTTGTTTTTTGCAAAGGAAAATTTCACTGAATCAAATTAAAGATCAGGTTTATTTCAATGTTGAAATAAAGTGCCTTTTAGATTCTACAGTGTCATTTTGTGTGGGCCCCTGAGTTGACTGCAGTTTAAATGTTCAGGGATTATTAAAACACACGTGAGACAAGAGTTACAGCTGATGTCTAGTGTGTGTGTCCCCTGTCCTGGTTACCCCGTGTCTCCTAACTAACAAGTTCACCCTCCTGCGATCAAAGGGGCCTCAAGATTTATCACTTTAATTTGGCAGTGAAAATGGCTGATGGCGGCTGTTACCAAGCGGAGGGCCCCCTGTTAGCACTTAGTTGGCTAACTAGAGTGACGGGCATCTGGCTGGGTGGCTGCCTGGCTATGTGTACCCTGGGTTCCTCCCCCATTTGCCCCACGGTGACCCCACACAACTCCATTCTCCTTGAAGCAAGGCACCATGCAGACATTTCCTGACAATTTATGTCCTTGTGCCACAAGCAGGGGCATGCCCTGCACTAAAATCCTAGCCCTGGCCCTTATAGCACACGCGCCTTGGCCCCCCCAGAAGACTGGTTATGGTGTTGCACCACTGTCTGTGAGGCATCACTTGTATCAGGCATCAGCTGCTTTACTACAAATCACATATACTGTATTTTACAATAGTGCAAACCATAGTTGTGAATGTGTTGTTCCTTACCTTCCAGGCAGCCATTGGTGTCCATTTGTTGTAGTTGTTTTAACCAGAGTAGATCTTCTGAGCATAAATGTTCTTTTCCAGGAACATTCACACCTGGAAGCAGCCCAGTACAATCACAGTCTGATCTGTTGGCCACTGAGGAGCCCACCTGGGGCAGCTGGGTTAAGTACCTTGCTCAGGGGCACCTCAGTGGTTGGCAATAAAGGAAGGGAAAATAGTCATTTGAAACTTGCTTGACATGAAACTTACTTCTGACTGCTTATTTTCAAGTTTCAAGTAATTGCAGATTGATTTTCATAGATGACAGGAATTAATGAGCTAAAAACCCAATATGGGCTTTTAAAAAAAAAAAAGCATATCTGAAGTAAAACATGAATGTGTATTGAGCACTAACAGTCTGAGTACCACATGATGGAGTGGATTGCACTTGAATAGTCATACAATTGCCCGTGCAAGGGCAATCAATGAGCTCAAATCAATATGATGGAAGGAGTCCCATGCAGTTTAGCAGAGCAACAGCAGCATGTAAAAAAAAAAATGATAATTACAGTTTATCCAACAATGATGAATCAGGGAGTTAAAGAAGCAACAGAGGGGCTATGTGATTAATGCAAATTAGGGACATCAGTGGGTGTGTTGGGGGATTCTGTCTACATCTCCACTACATGTCTTGTTCTCCAAAGGTTAAGTGGCTGCTTTTGCCAGCTAATTCCACCATATGCTCATCTGTGCATTTGACACTGGCACGCCATACGCTCACACTACAAATTATGCCTCTTGAATATGCAGCCAATTAAAAAGGACATTGCTCACCAGCTCAGTTCTATTGAGTCTAAAGCTGTTAAATGGAAATAAATCGTGTGATATCACAGACGAATCTAAGGTGTGCTGGTTTTAAAGGTTGCATTGCAGTGACTTATGATCTAGTCACGCTCACTTGTGCAGCCTACCATCTTTTGCATAACTTGTTGCATAAGAGCTCTACTGGCAGGCACACTCTGTCATGTACGGTCTGGGTCATTTCTCCTTTTGGTAGGGCTTATTACAGTACAGGCCGTTCCCTAATGTCACTGCGGTTGCAAAACCAAACAAGCCATCTCTCCCTGACTTTTTTTTCCCTGTCATCTAAGAATTGGCTTCCTGTTTTCATTGTGTTCTCGTTCTCTCTCTGGAGGTGTCGTAACCCAGGAGGACGTGCCAAGAACAAATCAAGGTCTGGTCGGGAGAGATCGCTCTGTGCTTGCACTGGAAACAGACGCGCACACCCGCACACATCCACCCATGTTTTGAACACACACAATATCCAGATGTTAAGTGTGTGTGTGTGTGTGCGTGTGTCTATTTGATGTGTGATGTGTATGGCATGTACAGTGCTTGTTGCCAAGCCATAAAAAGTCGTTTGCCTGGGCCTGATCTGATGTGTCCTTCAGCAGAACCCTGTACTGTATTTGTGCATACCAGACTCCTGTCTCTCCTTTTGTTGTTGTACAAGGTTGTACACATTCATAAAGGTGAACATGTCAATCCAGATCATACAGTAGCGCAAGGGCTACACACAGAGTGTGGTGCAACAAAAGTGTGAGAGCACTAAACAATAACTTTTAAGGCGTTGAATCAAGAGCAGGAACATATTATCCTTGCATATTAAGCCAACACAATTTGTGCACACACTAATCATGTTCGTTTGGGTCTAAAGTATATATTGGCATGAAGGGTGTTTGTTTTAAATATCCATAGATTTGGAGGTTAGAGACATTAAACTTGCAAAAGAGTAGAGCGAGAGAATAATGTGCATTCTTGCTCTGTGTGTCGCATGACCTGTCGAAATAAAAGATCTGATTAGTTCTATTACTTTTTGGCAAATTAGCCTACATTGAGCAAATAGTGGCAAGAGATGACACCTCCTGCCACTATTTGCATATTCATACATACATATTCTTATATTTGGAGCTGATTCTTACCAATCTGATGGCAGATTGTTTGACTCATCAAAGTATGAAGCTAAATGTAGGCTAAGTTGTACATTACAATATGCCTATTAATCAATTAAATGCTGGAAAATATGTATCTAATATTAAAAGGTGAAAGAGGATCACACAATGAAAGCCTATGCCTTCAGATAATACAGACAGCAAAACATGTCAATATACTGTACATACTGTAGATGTAATTTAAACCTGGAACAAGTGATGGGAGTGAGATTATTGCGTAGAAAATTACAACATTTTGTTTTTTATTATTGATTTTATTTTTTTCTCTGTTAAAGAGTCACTCCTGATTTTGTTGTAGCTACTCTATCTAAAGGTCCCCAAGTCCAAACACTTCCTTTCAGTTCACTTCATGTCTTAAAAGTTGTGTTCAAAACAAGACATTTTGGAGTATTGGAGTATGGGTACTCTGCAGAGTGTGTTATGGTTGCATTCTTTAGCTTAAACTAGAGAGTTTCAAGTTCATTTTTTCATGAAATGAATTTTTGTCTTCAACTTTAAGATGCCCTATTTTCTCTCCTTTTCATACAGCTTTTCCAAATGTGCTGCGTGTTTGTGAATGTGTAATAACCCTCCATGCTCTTGTTTCTTGTTTTTGTGCAGCTGGTGAGAAGGCCATAGTTTGTGACCAGTGTGGTGCCCAGTTCCAAACGCAGGAATCCCTGGAGGCTCATCGGCAGATCCACACCGGTATGAACACACACATAGCCAGACATATCATCTTGAAACCATAGCCATAAACATATATGTACTCTGCTACATCTGCATGTTTACATTTGTTGAATTTGTAGAGAGAGGCTCCACTTTGTTTGACAGGCTGTAGATATCGTATTTCAATTAATACACGTATTTTTGGTGGGCCAGAAAGTGTCTAAGTAACTAAGTACTGTAATTAGATTAAATTCAGAGAGAATTTGAGAAAAATTGAATTCACATTGAATCATCAGGTTCCATTCACACTTCCAATTTGTTTTTATATTTGCACAAGACAGCATGCATGTTGTGTTGCGGTGGTGTGCAGAGGCTCACTCAGCCCTCTCTGGCTAACTGGAGCCATGGATTGACAGATAGATAGATCACATCATCTTGGATTAGTCCCACTCGCCCTAAATCAAGACAGACCCAACCGTAATCAACAAACCGAGAACTTGGCAGGCCGATGTTGTTTATCAGTGCTCAGCTATGAAGATGGGAAGATGAGGACGATCTAGGTGCCAAGATGTAAATAGGAAGAAGTAAATCCCCCTTCAGCAGATGTGTGATGGCCCAGAACAGTTTCACTACTGGTGATGAACTCTTTAATTTGGGGGAAAAGGATTGTTTCAGATTTCCACCACTTTGTTACCAAGATGGCGTGCTTGGGGCAAGCGTTTGTGTTGGAGTCTTTCGTTTGTGTGTGAGTCTCTTGGTTTCTCCAGATTAAAAATAGATGATAACCTATCAAGAGCTGCCTCTCAGTTGTGTATACATGCTCCCATACTGCTGCTGATAGGATGTTGATGGATAATACTGTCCCATAATGTAACACACTACAGATATAGGTAGTTTGTAAGTAGTCTGGTACATTAGTCTATACTAGTGGAGACTTAGTATTGTTAGTGTGGAACTGGAATACTCTGTCAATTGTATTGTGCAGTGTTGATTACACTGTGTAATGCTTAAGCAGTGTTGTTAAAACATGTTGGTAGTCAGCCTGTTACATTTTACTACACTATGAGCAGAGTGTAAATTCTGCTATAGGGTGGTGCTATAAGAAAAGCCACAGGAACTGCAAGTTCAATATAATTAATCATCTGGCTGCAATGAATGTCCACAGTCAATCTAATGGTAGGGAGGCCATTAGTTTGATAGTTTTCATGAAGAGTTTAGGACACTGGAGGAAAGCCCATGGGGTGTCCAAAATGGAAACAGTTCATCCTCTGGGGAGCATGCACACGCGTGATAACTCCCATGGCCCTATTGACCAGCAGATTTCGATTTTTTTTCTTAAACTATGGCCCATCAGAGGAAAGGTCATGGGGGCAACCACTAACCGATCCACATAGTCATCCTTTAGCTCCAGCATGTCAAACAAAATGAGATGGGAGAAAAGAGGGCACATTCAAGCCAGAACCTGATCCCCAAAATAGCCACACATCATCATCATCATCATTATCATCATCTTGTGTAGTGTCCTTCATCTGAAGCCGTGACCCTTAGGCTCCCAGTAGCAGCTCCCATTGCGTGGCTCCACTATTTCTTTGCATCCACTCATGCCCCCCCCCCCAACATTTGAGAGGGAAAGGTAGGGCTGTGTAGTCAGGATATGGGGGTTACTCCTGAGGGGCATGCCCTCAGCCAATCAGCTCTATGGAGGTAAAGAAGGGTTAAATGAGGCTAATGATCCAACAGCCATAACAGCGGAAAGGAGCACTCTAAATATAGGCATTCCAGTCTGGAACGAATAGTAGAGGTTGGGGGGGCGGGGGGGCGGTGAACGCAGCCAGGGCCAGACGTGTCTTCCTGCCAGACAACTGGCGCAGCAGCAGTAATAGTATAGTAATCATCCATGTGTTGAGCCCCTCTGAGAGATCAGTGTGAAAAATGGGCTTTGGTGAAATATGACAAGGCACTTTCACTGCACCATATGATTCTCAGTTTATCTGCGTCTGTTCACTTTAAGCTACTGTACACCTATATTATGACATCCCCCAATATTGGACTCACTGATTGCTGTCACTACAGTGACTCTCAAAATCAATAGTGAGCTGAAGGTTGACCGCATTTGGCTGGTTGGTCTCTTTCCAGCAGGGGAGTGACTGATGAGACGAGATTGAAAGAGGTAAACAAACAACTCCCTTTCTCTGTCTCTCACTCTGAACTTTGCACAGACTTAATATAAATTTGTCAAATCTGCTTTGATGCAACACGTCATCAGAATATGAAGTGTAACGTGAAATCTAAAGTGCCCTCCTGGTTTTACTGTAAGTCTATTTTGTATCTATTCAGTTAATTTCCCGCCTGACGGGCCAATCTCTCCAGCCATGGCTTGCTAGGAATTCTATTTTGAAGATCACATTTTGGAAATTGGAACTGTCTGTGGGTCATAGATATTTTTTGCCCCATTTTGACATGCATCGCAAGAGTTTTTTGGGACCTAACCAATTTATTTTCTCCCAAGTAATTCAGTAATTCTGTCATTTTGGTTCAGAACAACATATCTCAACTACTGGCCAGATAAGTTACCAATAAATTCGCTATGGATTTTCATGGTCCCCAAGGTTGATTTCTGGTTACTTTGGTGACCTACCCTGACACATGAAATATCAGAATCTTGTGTCAGTTAAAAGGTACTGAAACACATTCATGCTCCCCAGAGGATGACATCCTTAATTTCATACATGCTATTCCTCTGGCACCACTATCAGGCTAAAATGTCAACAATCATACAGGATCATTTATATCTAATGGGCATATTGGAAAGACATTTTCAGAAAAATGTCATGGTCATATCAGGATGAACCATTTTGATTGGACTTTTCTGTGTTTAGTCCCTTTTATATCCTTGCACCCTTTACTTGTCGAAGCCTTTAAGCTTTCAGAATAGCTCAATTGTTACAGTTGTTCATTTGGTCCAACGCTTTTGTACCATGTGGTGTAATTTTGGCAGGGTTTTAGACTTAAATTCTTGTTTTTTCTTAGCTATGGCCCTCTTATATGTGTGTAGAACATGTAAATAATGTTATCTCAGCAGAAAATACAGAGGTCGACAAAACAAACGAAACTACATCTGATACAAATGCAGCTCCACTGGACAGTACTGTGTTAAATCAGTCTGAGCTAGAAAGCTTAACAAACATGGAATTATTTATACCGAAATGTCTGTGTGTACAGTACCCAAGATGCATAACATCAGAGAGGGCGGGTGGTGGGAGCTTGGGGTTACTGTTGGCCATCAAAGCCAGATTTGATCTCCGCCTGCCTCTTGGCAGCGTTTCAGCCCTTGGCTAATGTTCTCTGATGACAATATTTGGCCTCTGAAACTGTGGCTGTTTCTTGCTGCTTTGAATGGGAACTATTGTGGCATCTCCTCTGTTGGCCTGATCAGCTGCAGTCTGACTCAACCTCTTGTGTCTTTCTCAGTTTGCCTGTCCGCTCTTTCTTTTAAACAGGGCTGCCCTTGGTTTAGCACACACCTCTGTATGTTATTCAACAGCCTTCAAACTGTAGGTGGGAAATATAGCGAGTGTTCATCCAAAACCACGGGATAGTTTTGGAGGCCACTGAGGCATTCCTGAAGCTGTCGTTATTCCTAATAGACGAGCTCTTTTGCGCGCGCGCGCGTGTGTGTGTGTGTGTGTGTGTGTGTGTGTGTGTGTGTGGGGGGGGGCTGTTTTTACCCACTGAACTTGTGCCATCTGTGGCAAATAACACACACAAATAAATCTAGGAATGCCTGTATTCAGTCGCGTTACATCTATTGACGGCTAATTTCTGTCGTATATTTTTCCAAATTGGATGACATGGCATCAGTCCCACAATCTCTCTACACTGGGACTCGCCTCAGGGCTTTCGCAAGCAAAGAACAGTCTGTCTGGCTTTCATGGAGCTCCCATTCTTAAAGAAAATCACTGCTCTCATTAAGAGTTGTAGCCCATTTACTACTGTCTCTGTCCCATGTCCTCCAGACTTGGACTATTTACTTCAAGTCCTAGCGTTGCACTGTTAGCAGCCTTCCAGACAAACAAAACATGTAAAGCTACATGCTTATAGGGAGGATTTCTTGGTGGAGACCTCCATTTCATCATGTGGATGTCAGGTGACTGGCAGGAAGCAGGATGTAATGTAATGTGCATACTGATATGAGACCGCTGCAAACCGCAATTTTTATTTTAAAATACTGTTGAGAAAACTATGAATGTCATGGATTTCTGTGAATGGAGAAAAAAAAAAACTTGTATCTGTTGCTTATCTGAATTCAGATTTTTCTGACATTCATCCAATTTTTTCCAGGATGAATCTAAAAGAAATAGGATCTTGATGTTTGGTAGGCAATCTACCTCAAAGGTAGAATAGCAATTCTAGGGAGGAGGAAGGAGGAGATGTGATTTCATGTGATGTATTTTTCTCAAATGCCAAAACATGACAGGACGCTCAGACTTTTTAAAACGTTTTTTGTTGAAAATGCAAAATGACATGCCTGACATGCCTTACGGGCATTCCCTCCTTATCTTCTGGGATCATATGGTGGCACATGGGTCAGGCTTTTATCAAAAGCAGTTTTTTTCAGTCAAACTTAGCCGTTGTATTTGTAGGATTGACTTTCAATTTATGGGTCAGAAAAAGATGATTTTATCTATTAATGAAGCTTGTATATTTTTGTCTCATGATGTGAGTTCTGCTGTTGACCGGAGCAGTACAGTTTAAGGTGCTGGTTATTGTTTAATATGGAGAGTCACGAATGCATTCTGTATTGTACATCTTGGAACATTTCGTTAGTAAAGGACACGTTACTTAAACAGAAGTTAACGTTTTTTGACAGGAAAGCTGTAGTTGTCCGTTACTGCTGACATTTCCTCTTTGTGATATCAGCTCTTCACTGTTTTCAAAACTGTTTCAATGTGGATTTTGTCCCACTCCAAAATGTCATATTGGGAAACTGTTATGCTCATTTAAACACGGCCAACTCCAATGTGTCATTTTCAATTTGC